ACGAGCTCACTCAGTTCCTGCCCCGCACCATCGTCCTGAAGAAGCCGCCCGGGGCGCAGGTGAGACCCCGCCTAACACTGACCCTTCTACCCCGGTGCGCGGGTCCCTCCCGGTCGTTCCCGTGCTTACTTGGTTCACGGTTCCCAATGCCCTTCCTGGCAAAAATCCCGTGAAGCCAGCCGCGGAGTTGCGATAATCCCCGACGGGCAACGTTCTCTTAGTTGAGGCGGGGGCGGCGGCCACTTGGGAACAGCTTGGGGTGAACAATGGGGTGAATGGAGCGAAGGCGGGTGCGGCAAGAGATGTTCACATGTGGGGATGTGGAGCTGATGGAGGACAGGGAGCGGGGGGCCCCTGGGGCGTTCGCGGCGAGGTTGCCACAGAGGTTAACGCGGAGGGGCAGTGCTGCCACACCACCGCCCGTGCTCCATCCGGAATACTGGCAGTGGGAAGGATCCTGGGTCAAAGCCTGGGCTGCATTTCACTGCTGGTTTCTCTCGCAGCTGGGCTTCAACATCCGGGGAGGAAAAGCCTCACAGTTGGGGATCTTCATCTCTAAGGTGTGTCTGTCCTTCTACTATTTCCTTACCTGTGTCCTGTCTGTTCCCTTGGGTGTTGCTGAGCCAGCTGGGTGTGCAGGGAGACTGTCATATGAGTCTCTGAACTCACAGCTGTAATTTGCCATGCACCAAGCTGCAATCAGGCAGTCCTGCAGCATTTCCTGATCTCTCACCAGCACACACAGCATTGCTGGTGCACTGCAGTCCCTGCTGCTCCCCATCCTCCCCTGTCCTGTGGATGGGCACCATGGGGAGGCTCCGGGGCTGGGCTGTGCAGGAGGGGAGCTGCAACACCAGCTGTGCTATGGGTCACTGCTGCTGTCCCTGCTCTTCCCTTCACAGGTGATCCCTGACTCAGATGCACACAGGGCTGGGCTGCAGGAAGGGGACCAGGTGCTCTCAGTAAATGATGTGGATTTCCAGGACATTGAGCACAGCAAGGTGAGCACTCTTGCAGCCCTTCTGCCAGAGCAGGGACAGGATGGGGAGGGAATCATGCACACACCGTCTCCTTCCAGTCTCTCAGCCTACACGAGCTGAGCTGGCGACAACACAAAAGTTCTTTCCTCCAGCCCAGTCTGGTCACTGAACAACTCTTTCTGGTTTCAGGCTGTGGAGATCCTGAAGACAGCCCGTGAGATCACCATGCGTGTGCGTTACTTCCCCTACAGTAAGTGCCCTCCCTAAGAACGTTTAAATTCTGAGTGAAGGGTAAGACTGTATTAATGCTTGGTTTCTGCACCCACAGAGTTCATAGAGATAAGGGAGAGGGAGGAAGGTCAGGTCAAGCCAAACAAGGATTCTTCGTGAAATAGAAACTGACCCTTAAGTGAAGAAAGAATTAAAAAAGGACTTCAAACAAACTTTTATTCTAAATGCCCTAAAGTAACTTGAAATGACTGGCTGGGGTGCAATTACTACTTTAAAGCCAGCTGCTACCCAAGAGGGTAGCAAACACTGTTTCTACTTAGTGAGGTGTAAATGGAATATATCTTTTCCTGTAATATTTTTGCTAATTCCACCTTGCCATCAGCAACTGCCTCTCCTGCTCTTTCAGCCTTACCTTGACTTTCCCTTCCAGATTACCAGAGACAGAAGGAAAGAACAGTTCACTAGTAGGCAGCTGTCTGCTGGGTTTCCAGAGGGGCCATCCTGCAAAGAACTCTCCACTACTTTTCCTCAACATCTGAGATGACATACCAAGTTTCAGCTGTCACTTCCAGTACAACTGTCCTGTTGGCTGCACAGGCATCGGCTGTTTCCTGCATGGAGGGATACCAATGGAATCTTATTTAGCTGGAAGATGGATGGGGCTTTAGTCTGTACTCCTTGAACTGGGTGTTGAAACAAGCTGTTGGAGCTGATGTGGAAGTGGGTACCAGAGGGCAGCTTCTGCAGCAAGATCTGTGCTTCTCTTCTAGCAGGACTTGAATTAAACGAGGGCTCTGCTGGTTCTGGATCCAACCCTTGTTAACAGGTGTAAGGCCAAGAGGGTCTAAACATGCTGGAGCACAGCACAGCCTTTGTCCTCCAAGAGATTGACCTGCTCACTTTTCTGGTACCATGAAGTTCTTTCCTTCTCTGCTGTCCTACCTCTGCTCCTCACTACGGGTTTTACTTTGGACTCAAGAACAGGAGTAAAATCCACTCAAACTCAGTGCACATCTCTTGCTGCACTAGTCTGCTAAGGCAGGTTTGTACCTCTGTGCTGCTTTGCCACCCCCACCCCCAATACAGGACTGAGATGCTTGGAGCATGTTTGTGAACTGCTGTAGGTACTTGACCAGGTTCCTTCCAGAGCAGCTTCTGCACGGTTGAGGGTTTCGCTCACTGAACCTGCTTTCTTCACTTGGCACAGTCCTGTTGCGTGCTACTCCACATGGTAGTATCACATATTAAGTGCTATCAGGACAGCCCTTGCCCTGGCTGCCTGTGTGGTGTTTTCTGCTTACTTATAATAACTAAAATAATAAAGTGCAGCAACCAGCATTCATCCTGTTCCCACTCAGGATGTCTGGAGGGAGGGTTGTTTGTTACCACCCTCAGCATTACCCTGAGGAACTGTTGGGTGGACAGCTGGGACAAGGCTTGGTTCCCATCACCTTTGTGGCCTGTGGGAGGAAAGCATGGGATCCATGTGATGTGCAGCTCTGATTTAAGGCTGTTTTTCCACCCACTCCAATGGAAACCAGTCCTTGATTTTAATCTGGAGCAGTGCTTCAGCACTACCAGGAGCAAGAGCTGCAGTGGAGGATTGTGTCTGTGGTGGCACTAACAGCTTGCTTGGGATTGCCAAGGGTAGCAGCCTGACACAAGTTCAGCACTGCCAGCAAGGTTGCCCTTAGCTCAGCTGCTGCGTAGAAAGCTGAGCCAGGCTGAAGCAGAGTAAAATACACTAGAAAGTAAACTTTCCCAACAGCAAAATTAGCTTTTCTACCAGGGAAAACACTCTGGAAGCTCCACTGTAAGATGTAAGGTCTCTTCCATGTGGCCAGGCTTGTGTCCCATGGGGTGTTCATGTCTGCAGTCTCACACCAGTTTCCAGCATTTACATGTTCCTTGGGGAATGAAGATGCTCAGGTTGCAGCAAGGCAGCCTTCTACTGGTCCACCTTCGCTTCTCCCCCTTGTTGTGCCCAGACACGCCAGGGAGGTGGTCAGTTCCTGGCCCCAAAGCCAACCCTGGTCTCTGCCTGGTGGAAAACAAAGAGTGATCGAATGCACATGTCAGGCTTTCAGCACACAACCCAACTGCTGAGGAGCCAAGAGGCACCTTGAACTCTCCACAAGAGACTGCAAATACAACTTCAACGTTCAGTTTGTTCATCCTGCTTCTGAGCAGTCCCTTGCAGGAGCCCGGGGGAGATGTCCCCTGCCCAGGGCCGCTTCCTCCCTGCCATTACTCAGAGATAATTAGTTGGGTGCTTTCACAGCCCTCACACTGATCCTGTGACTGGCTGAGGGCAAACGGGACAGAGTGGATTCTTTCCCCAAGACACATTCATGGCTTAGGTATCTTAACTGACAAAGCATTAATAAGGTTTGAACTGGCCACTAGTCCATTTTATCCTCCAGAACCAGAGGGACAAATGAGCAGTTACTGCTTCCTGGTGGGAAAACAACAGGTCCAGGAACATTGGATAATTTTTAGCAACTTGCAAAACAGAGGCCAAGAGTCACGAGGGCTGGAGCAGGTCTATGTCAATGAATTAACTCCCTGGTCAGGTAGGCAGACTGGCAGAGGTACTGCAGGTAGCTTGACCTTTTGGAGCAAAAGCCCTTCTCCTCCCACTGCACTCCCAAAGCCACGCTCAAACTCTGTAAGCTCACCCTTCTTCCACCTTACACCACACCAGACAGACTTATCAAACCTACGAGTGAAATACGCAGAGGCATCACAAGGCCTCTCTTCAGCAGCAGGACAGCAAAGGTGTTGGTGAAATAACTTTATTTAGTGTGATACACGGCTGTGGTCAGACAGTCCATACTCATAGTAATAGTCACACTTACTCGGCTAACAGCTAGGAGACAGCAGGGCCAGACACACACTCAATATTATACACATCCATAGAGAAGACAGTGGGAAGTGACCTATTTCATTTCACTAATTACCCTCCCTCCCCATTACTTAGGGTCTCCTCCCTCCCTCCCCCCAGGTCCGTGACTGAACAACACAACAGCAGGGCAGTGCACACCTGCCTGTGAGAAGGGGACAGCAAAACCTGTTCTACAGCAGACACGGACACACCGACAAACATCAGCAATTCCCACACAACAGGGGTATGTACAGAGGAGGGGACTGAGCTTCCCGGACTGTGGGAAAGAGGTGGGGATGCTCCAGAGTGAAAAGGGAAACCACATCCCAGCTTCCTCCTGCAGGCCAGCTCACCTGGAGTGGAAGGGACAGGGCTCTGGGGAACAACAGGTCTGTCACCAGCAGTGAGGGGACACTAAGCCAGGTCCCAGCTAAGGCTGCCTCTTCCCCTCCTTTGAGAGCCCGCAGGCTTCAAAGTGCGCACGCGGTGTCAGTGACCAAGGGACATTTGCTGGGGGAGTGTCACCACCACCAAATACTGTTATCCCCATCCGTCACACCATGGTCCATCGCTCTCCTGCCCACTAGCATCCTCCCTGTCAGCATGACAGGGTGGGTGATGGAAAAAAAACAGTGGATGGCTTTCCACCATCTGACTCTTTCATTCTCCTCTCTTTCAAAAGACCTACTGGCTTGTGATTAGGACAGATGGTCAAACCCCCCCCAGGGCCCTATTAACAGAATTAGGAACCAGGGGCAGGGTGAAGAGGATGTATTTCCCAACCTTCAAGGTCAAAAAGCAAGACCAAAATTCATCTCAGCGGCATACAATCCTTCATTCCTCTGCCTGGGTCTGACAGTAGATCCCTGCCACTGCTCATTTCAGCTTTGGCAATGTTGCAGCTTAAAACTACCCCAAAAGTGAAGTGGCTACTAGCCCTATTCCCAGAAGCCTACTACAAAGGGAGAAACAGCTATGTGTATGACTTCATCAAGCACCAGCCTAGGCATGGGAGTAAAACAGCTATCACTGGCCTTCATTCTGCTGCAGCTTTCCTGCTCCATGTGAAGACTCTCCCATCCTATGTGACAAGGAACAGGAGAACAAAAACCAGAAAAGGAGCCTGAGCAGCATCCATGGCTCCTAGGGTAGGTATTGTCCCTGTAGCAATGGATTTCAGGTAACTGCTCACTTTTGCTGTAGACAGACAGGACCCGGGTCTCTACAAACCACCCTGAGGGTCTCTTCCCCACCCAGCCTCATGCTGCAAAGCTTCTTTACCCCTTTCCTTCCCCACATCTGACAGCCAACACTCACCAAGCGCCAACGTCCTGTGGATGGGAAGATAATCCAGCTGAGGAGAGTGGTCTGTGGGATGTCTCTGCTACACAAATGGGAGCAACAAGGCCAAAGCTATCAGAGTTTGGGGTTTTCCAGTGCTGTGTGTGACACGAGGGGCAAAACTCAGAAGTCATGAGTTAGCCAAGAGTTAGCCAAGATCATCCACAGAAAGGAGAAACTGAGGAGCTAACATTGTGTGTGCTCTGCAGGAAGCAAAAGCCTAGAAACAGATAACCTGTATTGTCCAAAAAGGCAAGGCCAAGTCAAACTGACCGGTTTAAAAGGAGCAGCCTTTCAACAGAGGAAGTGGGGATGCAGGAAAAAGGGCTGGAGTGGCCAGGGAACCAGGGTAAGATGCAAGGCAGTGAGGAAGGTGGAAAGCCCACCCCCAAGCTTTATTTTTATCTTCCCTAACTTGGTGGGTTTTCCAATTGCATTCACAAGATATATCTGAGCAGAGAGGCTCGAGGTGGGGAAGAGGGGGAGGAGGAGAGGAAGAGAGAGACTGTAAAGGGCACCACAGTGCCAAAGTGCAACAACATAAAAGGAAAGAAAAGAAAAGACAGGACACTCATTCTGCACTCAGGGCTCATACCATGCAGTAAGAGGGGCGGCCGGGGCTGCTCCCCACCAGTAAACAGGGAGTTCGCTCGCTTTAGTAGATTGGTTTTTCAGCCCACAGAGTAGGGTTGCCAATGAGCAGTGATGTTCTTCAGTGAGACTGGCCAGTTGGGGAATGTGCTGCTACAGAACGGGCCTGTTAGCAGGAGCACCCGCTCTCCGTTACTGGCTGCTCAGGAGGTTTCTCTAGTTTGATGTCAATCACTGCAGGAGACAAGTGAAGGAAAACACCCACTTCAAGGAAAGAACAGAGAAAGGTATCAGTATCTGAAAAGGCTGTTAGGTGGCCCTTCCTGATAGGGGCAGGGGGTTGAGCAGAGCATATCGTGCCTACAGGATTAACTGCAAAACCCACAGACTGTACACCAAGACCACTAGACCACTTAGTGACTAGAGCTGAGTCAGGCAGGTCTGTACACAAGACAGCCCTGTGTAAAAAAAGTATGGTATTTTAAATCCATACAAATTTTTATCCTAAGCTTAAGTGGAGAAAGCAAAACTTGTGTTTGCCATTATAAATAGCTGTGTATGTTTATACAGAGACAAGCAGGATCCTCAGTTTATGCCCACAGGTAAGCACCACACTACTGTGGCTGTTCAGCAACATCTCTGCAAAACC